AAATGTACTTGGAGCCCATTCAAAATGTTGCATTTTGGCTAAATGTGGAAGGAAAAGGAACATTTTGTGTTTTGCTTTGGTTTCTGATGTCACCGAGAAAAACAGGGAAGGACACGATAAAGGAGAGGAAACGGGAGAGGAAAAAGTCCAAAATTAACAGGCAATAGCCTTTTTTTTAGCTTTCCGACACCAAAGAGGAATGAAAATTTCAATCTAATAAAATATTAACTGTTTTAAACAAAAATCAGTGCTTGATACTCAAAATTTCAAACTAAAACCAACCGGAGCACAGAGATTTCTTCGTACACCCTGGAGATTCGGCAACGACCGCAACAGAACAAGGGGATGACACAGGGACCCAGTTGCAGAAACCTCCCACACGTGGCTATTTTTTTCATAACAATTAAACAACGGAGAGGCCACACGCTTACCTCCAGGGTAAACTCTTGCCACTTTGTCTGACAAATACACGGAGCCCAGGCTGCCCACGAGCCCTCAGCTGATTTAGAGCATCGCACTACGAGCTGTCACTGCACGGCATGAGCCTCCCCCATGCAAAATCAATTGCAACGGGGACGTCCCCGCGCGCCCCACCGCTGGCACTGGCTCCTCGTTCCCAGCTGGTGCGAATCTGCTGGGCGCAGAGGAATGCACCAGCTGATCTGCCCCAGGTGAGGGTCTGGCCCGTTGCAGGTCGGAACTGTCAGTACCAGGAAGATGTCAGGACACTATAATGAATTTGCAGACAAAGTAACCAGAATCGATGAAACCAGATGGAGCTGGGAAAGCCTCAACGCCAGGGAGGGAGGAATTTATTCTTGGCTCCACTCAGCAATAGAACAAAACAAGCTGTGAGTTACAGCCCCTTCTTCCCTGCTTTTCCCTCAAATGCCTTTGCACTTTTCTCTCTAGGTGGGTTTAAGACCCCAAACCTCGCTCTTTCTCATATCGCTCCTGAAGACCTATCTCTAGTACGATTTCTGGGATGCCACCAGCGGATCAGTTATAGAAAAAATGCTTCCAAATGTCAGGTTGTTGTTATATTCAACGCCAGAGCCAGCAAACTCGGAGACTTCAGCTGCACCTTGCAGAAACAGGGTCTCAATTATTCAAAGAGATATGTGCAAGCATCACCGATACCTCACAGCCACAGGGTTATTCCTGGGATTATTCTACAGGACCACCTACTTCTAGCCATGCGAGCAGCATGCACCCACCACTGCCAGATGCCAGACGCCCAAAGACCTCCAGCTCAAAGTCAGTGTGGTTTTGTGCCCAGGTAGGCTGCAATTAATCTGCTTAAAACTTGGATGGGCCCCTTTAGTTGAGAGCACAAGGTGGAAGAAATGAATGTAAGAGCTCCTTGAAAAAGAGCCTCAACACAGCTGCCCCAACCTTCCCCCTGAATAAACCAGACAGTTGCTTGCAGTTTCTTCTACAGTAGTGGGATGGGTCCTCTTCCAATGGTTCTCTTTGTCTTTGCAAAACAGAATATTTTATGTTCTGGCATCAATACTTCATTTTCTTGTTGACACCTAACACCAAAGTCTAGTAGCAGAACAATACGAAGACAACAGCTATGTTCCTTGGTCTGGTTTCTGCCAATGACATGGCATGACATGGATTTGAAACTGCCAACAATGCTCCCATACTCATTATGTTCATCTCCTAGAATTTCTTTTATGCAACGCTTTTCAGATGGTATATGACCAACCCAGCCAGGTCTTGGAAGCTCCAGCTTAGTGGTTTATTTCCAGGTCCACTCAGGCACCAATAGTTTTTAACTTGTATATTGAGATGCTCTTGAAATTCTACCCTGAATGTTCATTTATGCAGATGACATTTGCTCAGACATCCAGTGTCAAGCTTTTTCTGCCCTAGAGGACACTAGAACTCAGATTTGGCAGCTATATTCAGCTACCGCTGTAATTGGCACTTGAAGCTGAACATTTCAAAATCAATTTCATGCATTTTCCACCTCCACAGCGCCTGCGAGGCGTGGGAGCCGAGCGCCTCTCTGACTGGGTGCCCAGTGAAACGTGATCCACATCCAGCCTATCTCGGCACTGCTCTCGATAGACTCTGGTTGTACCATGACCATCTGATAACATTGTCTGCAAGAGTCAAGACCTGCCAGGCTTAGACCTGGGGATCTAAAGTTTAAACCCTGCAGGCATCTGCTCTTCTCTCTGCTGGCTGGCAGCAGAGCCTTGTACTCATCTGGGACCTGGACCTGCCTGTTCCTCCCCTACTTAAGTCAATATGCAATTTCATGCAAACATGTCAGGGGCGCTGAATCTACTTTTCTACCCTAGATCCCCCTGTGAAACAACAGCACTCCAACATGCGATGTGGATTGACCCTTTCACCAAAACGACTGCATGGTTTGCAGCCTAAGAAACTGTCTTCTTGCAGGACTCGGCAAGCTGCAAGCGCGCTGTGGCCGTGCAAATGACACGGCTTGACTTGTCCTTGGCTGCTGGAAAAAGATGGCACAAAAAGAAGTGAGAACTGAAGAAGGAAATTCTGAATAAATGCTGAGAGAGGACGTTAAAGAAACATGCATTTACATATTTTCAGAAGAGCTGTCCCAAAGATGGACTTCCTCTTTCTTGGGGATTTTTTTGAAATTCAGAATGGGGTAAATTCCTTTCTCAGAAGGAGAAGCAAGATCTTTATAACATTACTGCAGCAAGAGAAGATATGGATGGAAAAACATTCTGAAATGGTTAAAATGTTTAGAAAGCAGGAATAAGGGCCTACACTTCCAATCTGTAAGTTGAATTGATGCTCACAGGATTTACAGGCTCCTGCTTTCCCTTGAGGTGTCCCGTGGGAAGACTGAAGCCTCAAAACCCCAAGCAATCCCAGCGCTTTGAAGCTTTGGAGATAAAGTTCCCAAAACTTCCAGTGTTGCGGCAAGGATTAAACAATCCTGGCTACCGCTGGCCATCCCAAGGCTTCAGGGTCCGGTTCCACCACGTGGCACCTGGGTTTTCCCCGGGTTTGCAGGCTCCCAGATCCCCCCAGACGTGCACACCAGAACTAAACATCGCGGAGACCCTGCTGCCCAGAGGCATCCTTGCTCTTTTGGGAGAATATTTGCAGTCTGGGTTGGGATGTCCCATTCCTGCGGTCCATCCTGCAGTGCTAAAGGGAGCTCCCGTCTGCAAGGAGGTGAGTGGAGCAAACAAAGGAGAGCAAATTGAAAGCTGCTTTCCTCCCAGCAGTGCTCTCTCCAAGGGCCAACACCAGCAAGGCTGGGCGCAGGTGGCTTTTAGCAGCTCAGAATTTGCCATCTGACCGTTTTGATTTAAATTCCACTTTCCATCGCCTGCGTTTAAAGTTCGGTGCATGGGCTTTTACAGCAGCAGTAATGAACCTGGAGTTCAAACAGCACATGGCGAGATCAAAAATTGCCAGAGCGGAATGTGTCCCACAAATACAAAGCATGGCTTTTCATTCATTATTTTTTCCTTTACAGAGAGGTTTTACAAGCTGTTTATTTTCTGATACAGTGTTGGCAGACATGTGGTCGGAGAGGAATCAATATCAGCACAGTGGGATGTATTTTCTTAAACGGTTTATAGGGGGGTCTTTGCTTTTTCAAAGGGGGATAATTGAATGTAGTACACACTGTACTTTTGATTTGTTTAACATGAAGCGTGAAATGGGTACAGCTATGATTCTGTCAATCAGTTTAACTATCCAGCGACTCATTTTGAAGCTAGGCCTCCTCGCGGGGATCGTCTGGCTCGAGGGATGGGGAATTTGCTCAGCATCTTCCCTGCCAAAGTGCCAGTTCCAATCCAGGCTGTGCTGAGACCTTGCTGGCCCCACAGAACAAGCTGGGACGGGTGTCCCAGGTGAGCTTTGTGGATGCAGGTGGTCCCACTGCAACGAGGTGTCTGTATTCAAACAAACACCGAGGTTGAGTTCACAGCGGCGAGGCAGGGAGCAGGGACGAAGACTCAGGGTTGGGTGGCTGAAGGGGTTTGAGCTTTCAGGGAGGTGCCGCAAAACAGGACCAAGTCTCGAAAGCGGGGGTTGTCCCTGCTGTCCACACACACACAGAGACCCAACAACACTCCTCTTAATCTCCAGGTGATGAGCAGGAAATTTAAGTGAATAGATCTCCCTCCCCTAAAGCGTTCCTTGAGAGCCAGTCCAATTCTCACCGGCGTTTTTCCACGTATGCACCCCAACTCCATCCCTGTTTCCTTCCCTCTGTGCAACTCCCAGTCCACATCTGATCATCACATTGCCCTAGCTTACCTAAGGGACACCAAAAGCAATAGCCAACTACAGATGTAGGAATGAGGGGGCCAAAATCACATCCACTTTTAACTCCCCAACCGAGTACACAGCTCTCTTACTAGACCAAAGACATCTTCACCCTGAATCCCAAACCAAAACTCTTCTTCCCATCCCTGCATCAATGGTACATCCCAACCCATGTTCCCCTACATGCCCCTCCCGCTTACCCCTTCAGGCACTTGGAGGCAGCTCCTTCCTTTCACCCCTCTTTAGCCCTTCTGTGAAGTTATTGTAGAGCACGATGCCCGTTATGCTATGCTGGAGGCCAGAGGTGCATACCTAACCATCCCCATGGAAATGCCATCTCCTATCTTTGGAGTAACCCTGTTGTTGAGTAGGCATCTTGGAAGTCCCATGCAACCAGGAGAGCACTTTGACACCGCTGCACCAATATTCAGCCGCCTCCAGTCCAGAGGAGTCTTTCCTGGGGGGGTCAGTCTCTCCAGGCTCTTTACACAAAGCCTCCTCTAATTCTGACCCCACAAATGTTGTATTCAAAATGTGGATTTTTTTAAACCAGTTTCCCCACCTGTCCACAACTTTGTGTTTCAAATAACACAAATGTAAGGCTGAGCCTTGCATAGCTCCATTGGTGCTGCAGTTGTGCAGGCCTTAGATCATGCAGCGCGTTTCACCCCAGAGCAACTATGAGAAGGTAGAAACGTCTGTCCAGGGACACTCACCTTTTTTGCGATGTAACACATTTGCTCAGCCGGGAGGTAGTCAAAGGGGAAGATGAATCTCCAGTTGAAGTTGCCCTCTCCTCCCATAGACCTGTAGTGCACATCTGTTTTTTGCTTGTTCTCCTCGTGGCCAACCAGCCAGCTGCAAAATGTAAACACGTTGCATGAAAAACTAGAAACACACCAAGGATTTTGGAGTTCACTCAACATCACAGAGGCCATAAGCAGGTAATAAAATTAGTTTATTTTATCACCCCTGTGGATGCCTTGGGCTGCTATCTGTAGGGGTAACCTGGAGCCCGTAGGAGACTTGAGAGGGAATGCAACAGTCCCTGCAGTGTTGGGAGATGAACCAGTGATGGTGGTAGCAGCCTGAGAAGCTCTGCAATCTCTTCTCCTCCCTCCCCTGAGTTTCACGGATGATTTAAAGACTCAACATCACCTTAAGCTCCGGCTCGAAGTTGTCACTTACCCATCCATAGGCACACATCAGCTTCTAACCTGCCTTGGTGAGAGCTCCTTTGCAGCCACCCCAACCAACTGACCTTGTAGTTAGCCCCTAAAGCCAGTCCTGTTGATGAGGCAACCACGCTAAAGGGCCAAAGGGCCATTTTTTTCCCTCTACTCTCTGTCAAGTTCTTGAAGATTATTATTTGAAAGTCCTAAATGGCCAAGAAGTTCTTCCCCAGGAAAATCCCAGAGTGGCCAGACCCTGATGTGGCCAGGGTGCTCCCCAGCTGCTCCCCTTAGAGACAGGTCCTCGCAGCACAGTTCTCCTCCTGGTCTAAAAGAGCTTGCTGTGGTCACTCCGCGACCAGTCCAGGGGCAAACTGAAAACTTTCCATAACAACTACTTTTTTCCAGCTGTGAGTTTTGCAACTGTCAGGTTTTCATTCTGCCCTCTTTCCCTGTCCAAGATTTTTCAGTCTTCAGCAATCAACGAAACAAAACAAAACAATAAAACACATCCATTTGTGTATTTAGAGCCCTTCTGGAGGAAAGCCAGAAGATTCAGAGAGAATCTCTAATGAAAACAATTATCTCGTTTGATTGTTTTCCACTTAAATTGAAAATAAGGGTTTTTTGCCCAGCTATACAAATGATTCCCTCTTCTCCAGCACTTGAGAGGAGCACATGACCCACCCCAAATGTGTTGTGGGAGACAGGGAAGGGAGGTCTACTCAAGTTCATCCTACGGTACACATCACATGCACATGTGCTACACGGAGAGCGAGGGCTTGGTGGCAGTGGGAATTGTGTGATGAGGCTACACTAATACTTAAATTGTGGCTGGATTATTTGATTTGATCTGATAGGATGCAAATGGCAAGTCTGTGTGTTTATCCACATCCTTCAAAGCTTGGCAGGGACCCTCGGAGGATGCAGTGTGAGCGCCCTCTCCTTGCAGGCAAACAAAAGGACAAACAAATGGTTTGATTTGGATGCCTCTTTGGCACGTGGGGTTTTTTTTTTTTTGTCTTGCAGAATTTGCTGCACCCTCCCCACTGCAGGAAGGAGATGCCAGAAATCAAAAGGATTCAGGTCACAGTGCCCCAGAATTAAAAACATAACGTAGGAATGGCCATGCTGACCAACCAAAGGCCCATCTTGCCCGGTACCCTGCCTCTGACTGGGGCCAACAGCAGACACCCAGGTAAGAGCACAGGACTGGGGCAAACACATCCTGATACCTTCCCAACACACCTCTCCAGACTCCAATAATTTGCAGGTCAGAGATTTCCTGAGCTATAGATAATGTTTTTGTACTTAACAGGACTGGGTGGATTTTTAGCCCGTTAATTCATCCAGTATTTTTTAAATCCATGCGACTCAAGGTATCTGCAATATCCAAAGGCAAAGTTAGGTTCTTAAACCTAAGAGGCGACTTTGTTCTCAGAACTCGCACACGTCCCTCTTTGCTCAGCACGAGTGTAAGATTTTGGAGGACCCAGGCCATCCGTTTATTTAGGAGCCCAAAAGGGGATGCAGCTGAGTTTTAGAGATGCCACATAATAGCACATAAATCTTAGTAGTGGTGGTTGGTTGGAAGGGGACTCTGGAAACTTCTAGTCCAATTGGCTCAAAGCAGTACTGGTTTTACCTTGAAATATCTTGAAAAACTTGCAAGATGACGAGCGAAAACCTCCCACCTCCCACGTGACCTGGTTCAGTGTTGGTCCGTCCTCTTGGTGAAGTAAAACTTGTTATTGGAAATTTCACTATGAAAACAATACAAAAATATCCTCCATCTACGACAGTGACAGAGAGGGCTGTTAACTCAAAAAAAAATCTTCAGTTCCTAATGAATAGGATTTCCCTACACCACCACTCTTTTGTCTGTCTACAGCACAAGTCTTTAGGAAGGGAAGGTCTCTCTGCACTCAGCCTTGCGCAACCTAAACTTGATTGAGACCTCTTCATGCTATTGTAAGACTATCAATAAATAACTGATTAAATTAAATAAAATAAAAGGCAACTGCCTCAGGCATAATAGAAAAGCTCCTATTTCATTCACCTGCCTAACTGACTCGACAATGATTTACGTATTATGTAAAAGATAAGGTCCAAGAGACTGAGATTCCAGCCCTGGCCTTGCCTAATGGGCAAAATGGAGAATAAACCGGCAATAGCCTCCTCAGAGAAGCACTGTGAGATCTTCTGAAGGAAAGCCACAGGTAAAAGCTCCTTATCCATTGGGTTCACCCTAAAGTAGGCTCCAGCCCCTGCTCAGGAGGCGGCGGTGAATGGAGGGAACGGTCCTCACCAAAGCGGCACCACGCCACGGTGGTGAAGGTCACTTTGCCCACAGGATCCCCTCTCTGTAGCGCAGATGCTTAAGCACAAGAAGGACCATTGCCTCCCCTCCCAATAGGATTATTCAGGTCTGATCCAGAGATGCTGGATGCATCCATCTGGCACGTGTGCCAGATCCATCCATAGTGATGCAGCCATTTAGGGGGGAGGATGAGGAAGTTGAGCAAGATTTTTAACTCATTTACAGCACTGCGAGATTTGCTTGGTCGTTGGGGATGCCAAAAGCCAGGCGAGGGATATCAGCAAGCGCTGGATGCTCTCGCTTTCCCGGTAACACCCTGCAAGCGCTACTACTTCAGAGCCCCGAAGTGCACAGAGCAGCTTAGCTGGAGCTGATAACAATGCACTTGATGCGAATACCAGGTAAGCAGTGCGCATTCTAGATTTACAGGAGGAAAATTGGGATTGTAAAAAAGGGATTTACAGTCTGTTTCAAAATCCTACCTCTTCCTGTCCATAAATCCAAAGAACGCACAAAATAAGTAAGTCCCTTGGCTGGGATTGCACCATTTTACACAAGATAAAACATAAATGGAGTCAGGCAGAGAAGGGAATGTGCCAGAGGAGTTACTGCTGGTTGCCACATTTTTGTGTGTTTCAAGGAAAAAAGGGAATTCCAAAAAAAGCAGCTATGCAAACACGCCAACCTATGTATATGGAACAAGCCCATGGCTGTCCCGGGAGAGGAGCTGGGAAGGAGCCGGCGGTGGAAATGCAGACTACGTGCCCCTCTCTCCAATGGCTAGGCTGCTTCCCCACATCTTATCTCTCTAACTGTAAATATTGCCATGTAAGCATCCAAGAGATGCAAAGAAAAACGACATCGTGAAGCGGTTATGAGCCCAGCAGAGACGTGTCTGCCAAGAAGCTGGATCCATAGCTGGAGAGGTGTGAACGGCCCCTTCATCCCAGTGGGGGTTCATGTCTACCACAGCAATGTTGATGCAAGGGCCATGTTAACTCCTTCACTGCTGCTCTTGTGCCTTCAGGCTACGGTACCCGGAGGACGCAGAAGCGGGGTGGCTTACCCTTTGACATAGATGTCACTCATCTTCTCCCCGGTGATGCTGAGGTCATCGAGGATGACGTCCTTGGTGTTCCAGATGATGCAGCGCAAGAAGAACCTGGACAGCCCCGGGAACAAAAGCAACGTGAGAGGGTGGAAATCTTGGTCCAGAGCCCACCTAGACAGCCTGGTTGTGCTACTCAGCTATTTAGCTGAAGGAGCTAAGACGTGAGTCATCTTTCTCTGAAGATGAGCCCACAGAGATGTTTCTCAGCTAGGCAGGTGAATCCCTCCCCATCTGACATCTCCAAGCCCTCTCCTCTCCCCTCACAAACAGAAGGTGCTGGAACCAGCACCGCACTAAGAAATAAAAAACAAGTTACCTCTTGGCTTTGCGTGGTGTGATGTTGAAAGGGGGGCCAGGCTGACCCAGAGATTTCGGAAACAGGTCCACCCACATCTGTAGCTTTCCCTGTATGGAAAGAAAGTCACGTGAAGCCTGGTGAGCCTCCTAACTGGGTTACCTTCACCTCCTCAGTAAGACCTAGTAGTGGAGAGAGAACATATCAAGTGCTCCAGTGTTCCTTAGTTGAAAACTGAGGTTTCCCTAATGGAAAAGTGTCATTAAGTATTATATTAAAATTATTTTATTGATAGCTGTGTATACGTTAATGGCTTGCGATATAGAAGTGGTTGGTCTGGATAAGCTGAAGGTGCACTCTGGCTTTACTCTCCACGGCTGACTACCTTTACATAGGGACAGACTAAAGACTAGGTCCATGGGAGGTGTTGGAGAAGCAAGCAGCTCACTTGTTTTCCATGGTGTCACCAGTTGTCACCAGCTGGACCACTGGTTTATGGGCTTCTGACCATGGGAGTGGAGGATGGGATGAGGAGAGGGGAATCTCATTCCACTTTCACAAAATCCTTCCAAGGAGAGAGCAGCAGAAATGCAGCTGAAATCTTGGGGGTGGAGGGGTGGGGGGGGTGTTTTTAGGTGGTCTTTTTTACTGTAAAACACCAATGGGTGCCAATAAAATATTTTATTGTGCAGTCTCAGGGGTTGGAAGAAAAAAAAAAAAAGCCATCCTTTGACAATCAGCCCATCACAGAGGGGTTTGTGGTTTGCTTGCTTTTTGGCAAGAAAATCTTCCATTTCAGCAGAAAACTTTAAAAGCCCAACCTGGCTTTCAGCTCACTACGAACAGCCCGATAGAGCCAGCCTGTTCTGTGGCTTTGCAGTGGGTCAGAGCCATGTTTTTGGGAACTGCCCCGAATGCAACACGTACTGAGTCACACCGGTTAATCCCCTGGACCCAGCGTCACCCCTGTGGATGCTCTTGGTTAGAAGCACCGGTGCAGGGCAGACCCTGATCGCTCTGCCCATATGCAACCCCGTGTCATGGAGGAAGCACCCTTGCTAGTCTCCATGGCTGGTCCAACAAGACCATGACACCTGTACCAGGTGTCCCATCACCATCCCATCACTTAAGAACAGCACAGACCCACTGGTCACCCGAGAGCAGCCATGTCCTGCCTCTAATCACCATTTTCATTGGGTGAATTAACATGAAAAGGTGTTAAGAGTTGCTGCCAGTGCATTTACTTCTGCCAGCAACTCTCCTCCTCCACCATTGGAGAGGTGGTCTGGTTAAAAATGAACCACAGAAGGGAAATGGCTGAAACAGTTAAGAACAGCACAGACCCACTGGTCACCCGAGAGCAGCCATGTCCTGCCTCTAATCACCATTTTCATTGGGTGAATTAACATGAAAAGGTGTTAAGAGTTGCTGCCAGTGCATTTACTTCTGCCAGCAACTCTCCTCCTCCACCATTGGAGAGGTGGTCTGGTTAAAAATGAACCACAGAAGGGAAATGGCTGAAACAGTGCAGATCAGTGGCTGTTCACATTTACACCAGCTGCAGAGCCGGTCTCTTGAAACTGCCTTTGCAACGCAACTGGAACATGTATGACAGATGATAATTAATCACTTTGTTCTTCAGGAAGCAGCATTTTTTGATTCAAATGCATAAACTACACATATGTGTTAATCAAAGAAAAGGTGTTGGGCTAAATGCAGATACCTGGATTTCGATTGGTTTTGGATGGAAGCCCGTTTATCTTTCATTTGGCTTAAAAACATCCAGTCTGCAACAGTACTAACACTTTACATCTCCAAGGGCGGGTTCATGCTGCAGAAGTCATGCTGCTGCGTTGCCAAAGGAGCCTGCAGTGTCATTACCATTATAGAATAATTCTGCACTAAGACTTTCAGATCAGAAATGGCTTTCCCACCAAAAAAAAAAAAAAAAAACAAAAAAAACCTGTGAGCAAATGCTGATGAAAATGAACACAGGAGGCTGGAATCGATCTCCCTGAGCAAGTCAGCCACGGAGATGAGCTCCAGCCTGTGTTTGATAGCCAGCGGTCTGCCCTGCCCCGTAAGCTGACTCCCTTCCCTGGGAACAGCCCATCTCCTGGGGCAGGTATCCCCAGCACGGCTCCGCAGCGAGCCAGCCACCTGGTTAGCATTGGATCGAAAGGAGATGATGCTCTTGGTCTTGTCCTGGACACGTCACACCACCCACCTGCTCGATTTCTGGCTGGAGAGGGCTGTAAAGAGGTCTCGTCTCCACGTGCTCTGGCACCAGCCCTTGCTTCCGCAGCGCGTACAGGGCGAGACGCTCCTCCACCGGCCCCAGGTGGGGGTTGAGGGGTTTGCCATCCTCTGCCACAGAGCAGACAAAGACCAGCGTTATGCCACGCCACGGCCGCAGCTGTGCAGGGCCGGATTCTGACCGCCCCGTGGGAGCTCTGCAAGGGAGCAAGCACGAGCCCACCAGCCTCGCTGCAGCCAGCAGCGAGCAGGAGGAGCGCAGCCTCCGTTTGCAAATCCACCATCATCACAAACCCTCCGGGACACAGGGCAATCTGTTCCCGGTGGGACACGTGGGCAAACCGCTGTGCAATGGGACAGGGACCTGTGGGGAGTCTCGTACAAGTCGTGTCCATCCCCCCCCCCCCCCACAAATCACAGCAAGTGAAACATTGCAAGGCCCAAGTTGAAGCACATGGAAAGGAGAGCCCGGTCTTTGATCCTGCTCAAGGGTTCAGGTTGCCTAAAATCATAGCAGTTGGGGCTGCAGGGTCCCCAGCAGCCCTCCAGCCCATGCTGCTGCTCTGCTGCCGTTCCCACCCCCCAGCAGAGGTTTATCTAACGTGTGATCAAAGCTCTTCAGGGAGAGGAGATGAAAGGGTCTTGTCTGGTGCAGTTTGCAAGCACTCATGTGATGGATATTGTTTTAATCCCATCACTTAAAACCATCCAGGATCTTCAGCTGGGCAGAGAGGGGTCCCGCTTCTTCTCTGCTGGGTTCAGGGTGAAAGACAGAAATGAGAGGAAAAGGATGGCCATGCAGGCACCACCAGCACGGCTCAATGGCCAGCCCTAGTCCCTGCTCCGGTCCTCACTGCTCCCATTGGGGTATTTGCGGTCTTTCATCAAAACGGACCAGCGCACAACAGCCGCAGCAAACACCGAGCCGTCCATGAGCAGACCTGAAACCATCTCCACCTCCTCAACCCGCTCCACGCCAGACCCTAATCCCTCCACAAATAGGTCAGACAAGACCTATCCATAAGGGACATCTTTGCCTTCTCTGTCCCGGCATTCGGGATCCCTTGTTACATCCAGGTACCGAGGATGGCCAGCTTGGCCTCGGCTGAGCCTGCTCCTGCCTCCCCATCCCCACAAGCCATGCTGGGACTGGTGGAGGACATTACCCCCAAGACGCTGCCTTTCAGCCACAGCGTTTCAAGGCCATGCACCTTCGAGGACCTTTGAAATGAAATGCGCTCCATAAATATTATTACAGCTCTGCAACTTTCAGGTGATATATCCCAGCTCCTTTCTTGGCAATATCTTGAAGTGGTTAACTTCAGACATATGGGCTATTTCCCAAGCAGTGGAAACCTGGCGTGTGTGCGTGTGTGTGTATGTGTGTATGCACAGGAAAAAGAAAAAGCCCCTCTCAGAAAACAACAAATGTGGGGGTTACAGAATAATGGTCCGGGTGCAGTGCTTGTAAATCCCATGCTCTCGTGTTTAATAGCTTCACTTTATACCGCCAGGTTCAGATCTGACATTGCTCTGCGAACACAGCTGGTTTCCAGATCTCCTTGAGGTCAAGCATCAGACTTTGTTCTGTTTTTTGAACTGATTGCCATTAAAGCAGAGGAAGGTGAAAGGCAGGGGCTGGGAGAGGGGGGAAGACCCCGCTAGGTTTAACACCTCTCCAGCCCTTGCTGAAAACCTTTCGCATAACTAGAGGCTGCAAAGGAGCCGTTGCTTCCCCACTCCTCCTCCTCCTAAGAGGAGAACCATGAATTTGTGCCTTGATTCCCAAGAGCAGGGAGGGGGATCAGCCCTGGGCTGTGCCGTCTTGTGCCTCTGCAGGCCAAGTCCTCCTTGATGGCTCTGCAATACTGTAGTGGCCTTAACAAAGTCAAACTGCAGCTCCTGGGCCATACAGTGGGGTTTCACCTCCTCCCTGGGCCAAAACACCCCTTCCATGCTTTAAAGCAGACTTTTCTCTAAAAGGCAAACTTCTGCCCCCAAGGATGCCAGTCAGACGGGCATGAGTTGATGCCCAGGATATTGCAGGTGTCAGTGTTGGTGGTTTTTTTGTGCAAACAAGAAAATGCCTCCCCAACACTCGGTGATATTTTCCCCTCGCTGGCAGAGGCTGATTCTGCACTTCCAGCTAGAGCACACCTCGCCCCCGAGGCGCGAGCCGTGGTGCGATACGCTGGGCACTGTGTGTATGATATTGTCTCCCTCTAGTGACTCCAGCCCCAAAACGCAGAGATGCAAACGGCACAACTGCTCCTCCAGCCCAAGCAGCAGCTGGAAGATCAGGCTGGAGCCTCTCTGGCTGCGATGGCCTTTGCCGCTCCCAGCCTGTATGTATTTGGTTTGCTGCAGGCAGCAAAGGGCAGTCACTCAAGGCCAAAGTTAACGTGGCTGGATTGCAGGTCTGGGTTCACCTCCGGGGTTTGGTGCAGATCCAACTGCAACCTGCAGCCTTCGGGGCAGAGCCAAGCTTGGGAAAGGTGCAGAGCCAACCTGGACAGCAAGGTGAGGAGGATGGGGACGTGCCCATCACCCAGTCCTGGCCTCCATGATAACCCCCCACCGTGATCTGTTCATGACCTCCAACTCCATCCATTGCTCTGCATAAAGGAAAGCCATTTGCAACACCGAAGCAGCCCCGTTACCTTACCCAGTTCAGAGAGGATGTACTCTTGCTCCCTGAAGATGACCCGGTCGGACTTGTAGGTGGGGGCCTTGTAGTTGTGCTGCAGGGAGAAGAGGTGAAGCAGCTGGGAAGGTCGGAGTTGGTCTCGCCACTGGTTGGGTCCAGAGCTGAAACCAACAGGATGACTCTTGCTCCCTGAAGATGACCCGGTCGGACTTGTAGGTGGGGGCCTTGTAGTTGTGCTGCAGGGAGAAGAGGTGAAGCAGCTGGGAAGGTCGGAGTTGGTCTCGCCACTGGTTGGGTCCAGAGCTGAAACCAAACAGGATGAAAAACAGCAGCTCAACACGTGATAAAACATCTTCCAGCCTCAACAAGGGGCAGCAGCAGGGTTACACCAAAGAGGGCTGGTCTGAGGAAGGTGCAGCCAGCTCCAAGTCTGTGCTCGCCTTGGCCCACTGGTGAACGGGGCTGCATGTCCCACACCCCGCTCAGCCCCAGCTTGCAGGGCTGGGGTGCCCTGATAGCCCCCCTCAGACCCACCAGGTCACCCTTCAGCTGGCCCCGTGCATGGAGGGTGTCCTCACCACAGTGTGCCCGAGAGGCATCAGGGATATAACAGGATCTCCCCTAGGAAATTTCTGTTATTTGAAGCATTTCACGCTTCTGGAGGAGAGCCAGGGCTCAGGGAAGTTCCTCAAATGTGGGGCTTCTCTGGTGTGAATCTGTCTCTCTAGAGAAATCTCTGCGGTGAAGTACAGCACTGCCCAGGTCCCCCTGGGACAGCCCTGGGACAGCAGATCCATGGGCTGAGGCATCACCCTGGTCCCCATGGCCAGCTCAGCACCGCACAGCCCTGGCAGCTACAGAGACCCACTGCCTGAGCTCACAGAGGTACCTACACGCAGTAGGTTTGGGGGAGGCCACAGCGCGCCCCGTATTTCGACAGGAACCGGTTCTCCAGGTCTATGACGGTCTCCCCAATCTTCTCATCCTTCGACAAGAGGTCGTAGTCGTAGAGCGTGATCTTCAAGTCCTTCTCCAGGGGCAGAGTGCAGCTGAGCTCAAACATCCTGTGCAACGGGAGCCAAGAAATACCCATGAGATGGAGGCTCATGCTGCTGAGTGCCCCACGGGAAACGGACCCACACACCGTCCCAACCCACCAGTGCGGGAGGGACGGTACACCCACTGCGCATCTTCGCCGCGTTGGTCCAGTACTATTGGTCCTGTGTTGTACTGGCGTAGCTTGTGGATGCACTAAGCAAGCACGCTTTGGGTTTCTTTTTGCCTGGTTGAATTACTCTCAAGCAAACTTTGCCCCTGATTAGTTTCTCCATCTGCTAATTGGACATGACGGTGGTCACTGCAATGTCCAGGGAAAAGAGCCGCAGGCGAGAGTCAGGAGTCATCATTGCCATGGAATTTGAAAGGGGGAGAAATGACAGCTTTGGAAAACCACCTGCTCTTTGAGCCCAAAGAGCAAATGTCCAAACCAGGAGTCAAGCCTGCCCGGGCCAAGCTTGTGGTCAGCGTGAGACTAACCCCCCAAAGCCTCCTTGTCCTCTCCTCCCAGTTCGAAGCACCTTTTTTCTGTGCTGTCTCCTCTGCCATCATTACACCACAGTCCACGCACTGACATAACATAAAGCAAGAGCAAACCATCCTCTCCCTCTTCCAACAAAGGACGGCAAGAGACAAAGCACCAAGACCCCACCAAAACACAACACCCCGATCCAGACCGAGCCGGCGCTCGTGGATGTCAGCGATAAGGAAGGTGGTGCTGCAGGGTGAGCGGGACAGTCCAGGTCTGACCCAGCACTAGCAGGAACCCCTCCACCTGCTGCTGAAAGGCAGGCAGTGCCGGGGAGAAAGGCAGTGCCCATCCCCACCGCCAGCACCCACCCCACAGCAGCTTTTAAGGAGGGGAAGTGAGTGATTATGCCACCAATTAAGAGTGCAGGAGGAACTGGGGTCAGCAGAAAGTAATTAGCTAAAGCTGGATGGCAGCCAGCCGCCCAGGGAAAAGCTCGTGAAACGAGACGTTTAATAGCCGCCAGCAGCCAGGACCTCGGTTTTACATCTTGCTTTAAAGACCGGGTGGGAGGTGCAGCGCGCTGTCTAGACGGCCTCTGGCCAGGAGCCAGGCTTGGCGAAGGAGGACTTGCTCTGCCAAGCAGAGCTCACCAGGGTCTGGCTGTGGGCTCTGCGACAGGGCAGCAGGTCCTGGCCCACCGGAGACCAGGGCTGCCTCGTGCTAGATGGGGAGCAACCACTTTGCATTCACCGTAGGAAAGGCAGAGCTGCCATCTCCTTTTGGCAGAAGAGGAGGAAACGGCTTGTCTAACGCACGCTGTCCTCCACGGTCTCACCAGTATCACCCTCGCCATCCCTCTCCCCTTTGCTCCATTCTTGCAGACGGTGTATCTCCCACTCTGTCTTGCTTTGTTGAGAAGATGTCACGGCACTGACATCCTGAGCTGCCCAAGAAAACCAGCTGGACGTCGTGTGGAGTAGGGCTTGACCCCTGTTTGTGCTGACGCATAACTCCCTACGTCTAATCCCAGCTTTTCCGGGAGACCAAAGTCCTATCGGCACACGGAGGCTGAGCACCAGGTTTTCCTCTACCTCCCTCCGCTTTGCCTGGTCCCTACGGTGCTTTCTGGCTCAGATGAACACTTTTTTCTGAAAACAATGTTATCTTTTGCCTTTTATCGGAAGTTTGTGGCCCTACTGCAAGGCAAACAGCTCAACCAGCCCATATCATGTTTATAGATAATTTTCAGGGCATCCAATTTTGAGGTGTGCCATGCCGCAGCCTAATCAAACAGGCCTCCATTCATTGTGTCTTTTCTTCACATTTTTAACCAAAATGCCTAAATGAGGAGCAGAGTTTCCCCAGACTCTCTCTATCATCACTGGGATGAGGCAGATGCCTCCACAAGGGAATCTCAGGTCTAAACAACCATCCTGACGTCTCTGTTGACGACAGAGAAGACCCAGTCCATGCTCCACGGCTCAAAAGTCCCAGGGAGAAGATGAACACGAGCCATGGTGGGTAGGATGGTGGTCGAGCCAAGGCCAGGCTCACTTCAGCAAGGTTGGACATGAGGCGAGAGCATGCCATGGGAATCACAGAATGGTTTGGCTTGGAAGGAACCTTTAAAGGTCATCTCATCCAACCCCCTGCAATGAGCAGGGACATCTTCAACTAGATCAGGTTGCTCAGAGCCCTGTCCAACTTGACCTGGAATGTAGGTTGGAATGGGAAGCTCTGGCTGGCCCAGCCCTATTCCCTCAATATGACATAAAAAATCGCAGGGACTCCAAACCGGATCAAAACTTACTTTCCAAAGACAGGCTCCAGCGTACAGGGGAGGTAATTTTCTTGGTCATTTATGGATTTCTTTCCCACTGAAATCTTCACATAGGGATCGCACTAAAGATGGGCATGAAAATAAATGCAAGAAAGAGTCATTGCACAGCAATATTGATGGCAAAGGAATAACTCTGCCTCCCCTTGTCCCAGCAAGCAGGATCTTCCACCGCCCTTGAAAAAAGCCTATTTTCACGGATAGGACAGTCTGACCGTTAACTCCTTACTACAGATCTGTGACCATCAGCAAGAGCTACCTGCACTGCAATTCCTTTTTGAGGATGACCGAAGGACCAGTCAGCAGTGTGGGACAAGAGTCCAAGCCCTTCTGAGGCCCATGGGATGGAAAAGCAATAGAAGAGCATGAAAAAAACTACTTATGGCTTCTTCGATGGACTGGGCTTGCTCTGAAGTCCTCAGGATGTTCCCGTTCTCATCTGAGTCACCTATTTTGGGGTTCCATCGAGGTCATCATTTTTTAAGTTTGAGGTCTACTCAAAAATAGATTTACAAATGTAGGGGACTAAAATGTCAAAGGAAAATCATTTTGTTTCAAAAAATGTGGTTCAAAACCATTCATTTCCAAGATGCTGCAACAAATTTAAAAAAAATAAAATGGAAGCATACTTTAACTTAAAGGCTCATTGTGCATCTAAAAATTGTATCAGATATTTTTACATTTTTAGCAAGTTTTTAAGCTTCTCTCTCACAACTAAAACTATTCCGGGAAACGAGCATAAATTTGAAAAGTCGTTAAATGAACTCAAGTCAGCATTTTTGCCAGGGGAAGGAAAAAAAAACACTTCACCTAAAAGATGTCACCCAGCTTGAGTCCAGTACCTAGAGGGACCCACCATCTTACTCAGCTCACATAAAAATAAAATTAAAAAAAAAAAAAACACAAATGGGAAAGATATTGGTTAGATATGCTCCCTGAAAAAAACATCCAGGCCAAGTTCCTCATCACTTTTCCTTGACCTGTAGATTTTTTTAAGAAGCCAAGGATGGAAAAGCAGTGCTCGGGGAAGGCCTGCAGCGTGAGGATGGACCGGGCATCCAGGGCTCTCCTTTTGTCTCCCCTTGGCTGTGATGAGCTTTAGGAGACATCACAGCATAGGGGGGAAGTCTGTGGGTCAAACTGGGATTGGTTTTGGTTTTCAGTGTAAAAAAAAAAAAGCATTTTTTCTACTCCTTCTTTTTGAGTCTCTTACAGGAGATTTCTAAGAAATTGAAAACTTTCATTCCAAGTCCATTTTCAAAAACTGGGCAGATTAAAAAGCAGGGGGGTTGCTCACGTCAAAATATTTCCCATACTTTTTTCTAACTTTTTCCCTATTTTCCAGTGGAACAAAGAGTGAAGAAGGATTTTTCCCTGACGGGTTTTTTTTTTTTGCAAAGTGAAACAAAATTAACATTTTCTTTTTGAACCAGCACAATTTTCTTTTTGCACTGAATTTTTCTTCCAGACTGGCAAAGCTTTGCAAAAAGCAGTCATGTGAAAGACATGATTTTGTTTCTTTTGGCACCAAGGCAAAAAAAAAAAAAACTCATTTAGCTATTTTAACTAGCACTACTGAAAAATCCCTCAGGATGGAGGAAGAGTTGGCTCCTGGGATTCCCAGATGTTGCAATGGAGGCAGAAAGAAGGGGTAGATTTTCTCATTTTTGCTCTCACTGTTGTTTCTAAATTTTAAGCCATATATGCAAATTTTGATCAATTAGGGCTGACCTGTTGAAAGACCCCACCCCGTGAGCCAACATTGAAGGCCACCAGAGCTTTCCCCAGCAGGATACCTTTCCATTGGTGTCCTTGGGTTGGAGGTCGAAGGCCCGGATGATGTAGACCCTGACAAGACACTCCTGGGGTCCTCTGGCCGGCAGCTGGTGGAACTGCCGAGGTGGCACTGGGACTCGCGGGTCATCCGGGAGAGGGTAAATTCTGAACGAACCCTGTGAAGGACAAACGTGTTCAGCTGCGCTTGCACATCCACACGCGTAGATGGGTCTCGTGTGAGCAGGCTTGCCACCACAGTCTGGATGGTTGCATAGAATCACAGAATCATAGAACGGTTTGGGTTGGAAGGGACCTCTAAAGGTCATCTAGTCCAACCCCCCTGCCGTGGGCAGGGACATCTTCAACCAGATCAGGTTGCTCAGAGCCCCGTCCAACCCGACCTGGAATGTTTCCAGGGATGGGGCATCTACAGCTACTACAATGCTGGAGACAGAGCCCAGGTCCTGACCCTCTTCTGGTCTACTAGACCAGACCATGTCCTGTCAGGCTCTTCACGGTCGAGGGAGACAGGAGCAGGGTGGCAAGCTGCCTGTATCATTCATCCCTTGCCTGAACATCGATGCACACTGTTATAAGTCTGCACAGGGCCACTCCAGCCTGTTTGTCCTTTACCTCTTCTACTTCACTGTCCTTTGAGCCTTTGTGCTATTAAAGAGGCGTGAAGGACCCTTGCTAAGAATCAGTCCCCTCAGGGTTTAAGGCTGAGACTTTCTCTGCAGGGACAGTTTTAAGGGTTCCTGGACGAGGCAGCTGGTTCCCAAGAGAGGGACGGGAGGAGGAGAGAGAAAATGCAAAAATTTACAAGTTTTTTGTTCACCAGAGCTGATTTCCTCCCGGTGAAGTGGCAGGAATCAGTCTCTGGGTATTGTGCGGGGGAGGAGAGTGCTGAGTCAGAGCAGGAATTAAAAGAAAAAACCACCTAGAAAAATTTAATCCCTCTTCTCTTGCAAAGAGGCTAAAGGTTAAAAAGAGCAAAAGATGCATCGCTCCTCTGCACTGGACAGACACCTCCAAAGGGAGAGCACTGAGCACCGGCTTGGAGAGACCTTCAGTGCTCCCACCACCGTCCCGGAGAAAGAAGATGCTCCATCGCTTACATCCAGCGTTGGCTCCAGATGGGTTTTTGCTGGAGGTTGACGACGCAGCCTGGACTGGGTTTGAAGCATGCAATGCACTCGCTGCTGGGAATACAGCAGCCAGACCTGCACAGGCAGGTTGTTCAGACTGGGCCCAGTGGTCTACTTTAATGGCCCATTTCTCACTGAATTCCTACCCAAAAACAGTCAATTGGCATCATCCCGCTCAGCAGCCAGACCTTCCACCCAGCAGAGTGCGTTGCCGGGTACAGGTAGAAAGAGAGACCATCACACCTTGAACTCCCCCACAACCGAGGGGTCGTCATTTGAGTCCTGCGACCGGCCGCGATACAGCTTGAAGGTGTGGCAGAAGTCGGAGAGATGTTCGAAGTCCTCCACGTTCTCCAGCTCCGTCTCGTAGACCTGGGGAGGGAGAGACGGGGGCGAGGGCAGGGACTGCTCCCGGGCAGAGGGGGACCGGCAGCGTGTCCCCACCGATCTGGGACAAGACTTGACCCAAGCTCCTTGGTCTGGGGGAAATACCACCCACTGGGACAGAGTCCTGGGACCTGTCACCCTTGTTGCCCCCCCCAGGACAGTGATGAAGAACAGAGCTTGAGCAACCCTACAACAACTAGCAGCACATCACGGAAGACCCAGACTAAGCCAAGGTGTCGCAGAGGGTTTTTCATCAGCCAAAGAGACCTTCCTGCTGGGAACGTTTTCCTTAAGACCAGGCAAGGTCTTCCCCATTTTAGTCCTATTTGGGCTCCTGTGTTAATTTTAGCAATTCTTGTAACAGGGTACCTAAATGTCCCTCTTCCCTAAGCAATCTCTGGCATTCCTTGCTGTTCCCAAACACTTTTCAGGGTGGCCGCTCCCCACCTCCTCTGCCACTTAGAAAAGTGACAATACCTTGAAGGCTGCAAAGTAGAAAGTTACCAGGAAGGATTTTACAAAGAAAACTGAGTTTTCAAAATAGTTATTTTCTAAAACAAAAGTACCTGCTCTCAGGGGAAAATGACCTTTTTTTTTTTTTTTTGTCCTGGAAGAAAAAGAAGCCTAAACACTCAAAAAAAATCAAAGCTTGTGGAAAAATGTCATGGAGAGTGCAGGTCCAGTGAGCCAGAATCAGCCAAGGCCACTTACCTTCAGGGTGTCAAAGCCCTTCTCTAAATAGCAGCCACATTTTTCCCTCTCTCCTGTGGAAGCATAGAATTTGCTCCACCAGTCAATGAATTCTTCCTCCTGGCAGCAAGAGATACCAAAGTTACGCATCTCCACGAGCAAACCCCGATGATCAATGACAGCACCGCCTCCCATAATTGCTAGAGGTGAACTTCTGCCCCGTGCACCAACCTCGTGGCACAGCCTGGGTTTGGTGGGTCTCTGTCCTGCAAAGGCGATGAAGCTATCGTGAACCCAGCCTGCAGCTACTCACTCCCTGGTTTCAAGGTGCTTTTGGGATGCTTCCAGCCCAAATCCAGCTGTTGCAGCCACAGCAACACCATGGACCTAGACCTGCCAGCAGAGAGGGTGATTCTCCATGGGAGGACGAGGTAGAGCTCACAAGAAGCAATATGCAGCATTTTTAGGCCAGGGGCAGGTTTTGGCCAGTTTGGGTGGTGGTCTTCTCAGGACCGCAGCGCAGGACCACACAGGGGATGAGGCAAACTAACTCTTGTGCTGACATGGTCCTGACAGCCTGAAATTCAGGGAGGACATGAGGACTGCTCTTAAACTCAGCCCCCGGTTTAGGCTTTGCCTGGAAGGTTTTGGGGTTTCTGGGTTTTGGGATGGGGATTGCCTTCCTGGTTTGTGTCCCAGCACTACCCAACCTCCCCATCCAAACAAAGCACACGGGCAAACAAGTAAGTGCATAAAATGCATAGACTTCCACCAAAAAAAAAATGGTCCTCGGGTGCTGCACCTCTCTCAGGAATAATGTAGCTCTCTTCTCACTGATATTATACAAAGAAACGGGCAAATCTCATACAGCCTAAGCCTCACAACCTCACAGCCCACAGCCGCAATGCCATGAAGGAGCATTTGCCTCATCTGCTATGCAAACTGGGTTCCAGCTCCGAGGATGCTGCTCCAAGAAGGCGGCCGGCTGCCGGCTTCAGCAAATGTATATATTTTATAAGAGCACCATTCTTGAAATTTATACAAGCAAAGATGAAGGGGCTTTGACTGTGATTCATGAAGCATTCCTGAAAAATAATGATGTCTTATTTTAGAAGTCCACAAAATTCCATCACACTGACCTAATGGAGGAATCATAATAGAGGTTTATTGGATTTATATTTTAAGCCAACAGTGCAGGCTTTAAATTGCTATCTTGAATAGACATTGTTTTTAATAGAAATATTACATAAATTAACTCTGAGGCCTCTGCTGCCTCCCTTTTTTTGGAAAAAAAAAAAATTGCCTTTCATCGCTTCCCCTGTTTTATTGTTTAAAAAGCTACGCTCTGACCATCGTGGCTTTACTACGACATTCCACAGGTACTGAGTTACAAAGAAAGCACTTAAACTAATCTGACGACTCACCCATGGTATCTTCTGCAGCCCCAAGACAAAGAATTTGGTTAGATATTTTTGCTGATTTCTACTGACGTTACAAAAAAAAAGGCGGAAGAAAAAAAAAAACCGAGGAGGCAAGGGGAGCAGCTGGAATATTAATAGCGAAGGACATTAATCCATTTGCCTGCAAATGGGAAAGCCAGGGAAAGCAATGGCTCCACCACATGAGTGACTGAATTCAGGGATTTCATTTACCAACCAGGCGATAGCCAAAATCACCTCCAGTGTTTTGTCTTGGGCATGGTACAGGACGGTCCTCAGAGGCGGGGTCTGTGCCCTGAGCCCTGGCACAGATGGCTGAGGGACCTCAAGCATCCTGCGTGCCCTCTCCAACTTTTGCATGGACCCCATGAGTGCTGCAGTGTGGCACACGCCCATGGCTGAGCATCGCTTGTGGATAAATTTCACATCAAGTGACTAACAGCTAAAATTTTTGCTTGGGGAGAAGCTTACTCAGATGTGGTGAGCCACTGTCATGGTTATCAGAAGGTTTGCTGTCTCCCCATCCCTGCTCATGCCTTCTTCCCCCACAACCACAGCTCCCGTAGAGCAGGGACCACCATAACGTGGGCTGGCACCTGCATCCCAAATGCCCTGAGGCTGGAGTCAGGACTGCAAACGTTTTCCCATTCAGTACTGAGATAAAGTCAAGACCTTTCAAGCTCCAGGGTGCCCAGCTTTGGCATTTTCTGCTAAAATGGAAAGGTCAACATTTAATACAGGAGCAGCAGAAGAGGGTCCAGGACCATTTGGTGGTGTTGGGTTGACGGTTGGACTCGATGATCTTAGAGGTCTTTTCCAACCTCAATGATTCTATGATTCTATGATTCTATGATTCTATGATTTCACTAGGCAAGAGCCTGAATGGGACCATTTCATCAGTTTTCCGGGAAAGGGGCAGCAGGAGAGCCCCTTCCAGGGGGGCATCCCGGAAGAGAGGAATGTCTAACGGCCAAAAGCACGTCCGTTTCCAAAAATAAAGAAATTCAGATTTAAAAAAAAAAAAAAAAAGTCTTTAAAACCAGAATTTCACCAGCAGGCTGCAACTTCCCACTTGAAACATTTCTGGGATTATGGCTTGGACACAGCAAAAGCACTCAGACACATGCTTAACTTCAATCGGGTGCGCAAATCCCTCTGAAGTCAATGAGGCTCTTCAGACGCAGCCTTAAGGGCATTCTGGATCAGGCCTTCGGATCAGCAGAGCCAGCAGCCGCCGCTGACTTACCCCCTCCATATAATAGGGAAGGAGGTTTAAGCTGTGCCTGATCTCCATGTAGGACTTTCACCCAGGGCTACACACATTGCTGTTGAGGGTATTAAAATTCCTCCCTCCTCCGGATGCCAAAATATAGACCTGTGTCATCCCGGCAGCTCTCGGGATGTTTTCAATCTCATTTTGTTTCATCCGGGGCGGGGTGGGGGGGAGAATGCACCAGTTTTAACCTCATTTTTGTTGGGGAGGCTGAGCCAGAGCGATTTTCTCCCCGCCGCCCAGGGTTTCCTGCGACTCCAAGCCCGTCCTATCAGATGCATTCCCAGATGGGGATAGCGGGAGTCTGGGCTTATCCAGCACAACCCAGTTTTCACAAAATATGTTGAAATGGTCATTTCCGTCTGGAGCAAAAGGAGAGAAACTTCTGGAAACCCGAGAAGTTGCCACACAACAGACATATTGGCTTCTGGTGAAACTTAGTCCTTATCATCACCCTACAGGTGGGGGAAACTGAGGCACAGACAGGTTAACATCCAGACAGCAAAGCCAGGAGAGCAGAGCAGGCATGGGACAACTGAAGTCTTTATACTTATGCTTGCTCTCGTAGTGATTACCCACTCTTCCCTGTGGGAATATAGATAATTATAGCAATAATAAATATTACCTCTAAAGAAGCTGAGCCACTGCCTCAGTCTCAAACGTACTCGCACCTCACATCTGGGAGGCAGATTTCCTGCTATGGGAAAGCTCTGCAGCTGGGATGAGAAGATCCCTCTAGAAACAGCTTGGACATTTATAGATGCAGCTCCCCAGCTGTTTGTTACCACGCTTTTGCAGGAGATGACACCCAGCATCTCAGCCTTGGAGAGGGTGGTATTAGCATCCTCATCTGCTCCAGTGCAAAGGCAGCCTGGTCAGCTCAGCTCATTACCCGACCAAACTAACCCAGCCCAGCCCTGTCCTCCCATGGGCGCAAAACACGCCGGCGGAGAGGCCATGGCAAACAGCTGGGCAACACAAAAATGTCTTTAAGCACCGCAGCTGCGCTCCTTGGGGGTTTTCCAACCACATCCTAAATCCCTTTGCTGCTCCGTCTAGCATTGCTCCAGAGGTCAGCATGCCCAGGCAGGAAACTGAGCAGCTCGCTGCTGCAGGAGGCATCCTCGGGGCGGTTCTGCAATGCAACGGCTGCAGTGAAGCCCACCAGCCACCCACCACCCAAGGAAGGTGCCAGCCATCCCCACGCCGGGGAGGCATGTCAGCCTCCGCTGCCCAACGGGCTCCATCACCTACAAGCGTAGACCAGGAGCAGCTGCAGAAGTGCCCGGGAGGCAGGAAAAAACAAGATTTTCCTGCTAGGAGGCCATGCCCTGCCCTGCCCAAGGCACTGGGGTGGACATGTCACAAACCGGGCTTGGGATCTCATCTGCATTTTCCTGCTAGGAGGCCATGCCCTGCCCTGCCCAAGGCACTGGGGTGGACATGTCACAAACCGGGCTTGGGATGTCTCATCTGCCAGGCCTTGGGAGCTGGAGGAAGCCTTTTTCATGCTAACAACCTCCCCATGTCCTTGAACTCCAACCTCTTCCCCAAGAGGGACCTGTCTTTGGGTTATCCTTGGGTTAACCTGGTCCTTTCACCTGGTTCCTTCAACCTATCCCAGGGACCTGCAGAAAGCAGCACTGGAGGGAGGAGGAAAAAAACCACATGCATCCACACAGGCAGGCTGCAAGAGGACTTGGCTTATCCTTCCATTAACCCTCAGGGTGAGAACTGTCAGATATTCATAAAGAGAAATTATCCATTTCTGGCTGTTTCACCTTTTTTTTTTTCAACGTACTGTTAATTTTGCTCAGAAGTGGAGAAAACTTTGTTTTCAGTTATCTTTTTCCATCCTGTTCAATCAGCCTACATTTAGCCATGTCCACCCAAAGGCAGCCTCCCACACACCTCCCTGCCATCATTTTTTCTCTACCCCATGGTTTATGTTTGGGGATGCTTTCCCCCGCAGCCCCAGCCGGTGGAAAGCCAGCTTGCCATGCAGATTGGTCTGGGAGGGTTTTCACCCATCGCCCGTGGCAGTGCCGTGGGCCATCTCCCGAGCGTGCACCAAACACCGGGAGAAAAGACGACGGCAGGAACGCGCCGAGGGGCAACGCTGGGCTGCAGAGCGGGTTGGCGACCGTTTTCAGCAGGAGATATCCAACACCAAGAGCTCTTCCAACTAACAGTAACAGGATAAGCCGTAAAATATGTGCTCCGATTTGGAACTAGCAAACACAGCAAATAACCAATTATTCCAAATAGTTTACAGATTTTGACTTTTTTTTTTTTTTGGCTTGGGTTAGCTTTGCTAACTTGTCATTTGATGGGTTATTTGTATTTCTTACAACCAAAGCATCACAAGCCAAAATAATGGTACGAACAACTGCGTAGAAAGCACCTTA